TTTCCTTATTATCTCTATCTATAAAAGGCAGGATGTGTGTGTGTGTGTGTGTGTGTGTGTGTGTGTGTGTAACGAATGCACGGCCACAATTTTCGAAGGATTTGCACCGAAATTTACATGCACATGCTACAAGTTAGCGGGAAGGCCAACACCGACTTTGCATTTCCCAACTCCCATCGATAGTGGAAATAATCGATTTTTCATGCTTCTACGGCAGTTTTCATGTAGTTTGCGGCCATTTTCTACTGGCCAGAGTGAGAGCCTAAAGCTGGCTGCCACGAATAGGCAGGAAGATTCTATTGGCCAGCGTGAGAGCTAACAGCTGATTGACACGAATGTTAACTAGCATGCTAGCATGCAAAAAAAATCGATAGCTGCATTCGTCACGTGGGAAAAATTTAAATCTGCATGGCACTTTACTCCAATTGGCTCATTCGCTTGATTAAACTCAACGTTGATTCTGATTCCGCAGAACTGGGTTGGCTGTGAAAAATTATTTGTTGTTAACATTCTTTTTTCATTCGGTTTTTCCAGTTACGAGTTCTTTTTTAAAGCTGATCGTTTTGTGTTCATTTTGTTTAGTTCTTTTTTCGTAACAGATTTAATGTTTAGTATATAGCTTAGAAAAAATTCGCAGTGTGAGACAGGCAAGAAGTAAGACATGTAGCAACATCAACACGGCAAAGGGCACTCCTTTAAAGGCAAGAAAGGGCAAAAACATTTTAAGTCAAGTGATAGCGATTGCTGCATGAGTCGTAGGATTTTTGAATCAAGCACGGACAACGCCGGGCTATGCTGCTAGTTATTATTAAGAACTCTTACTCATTGTACTTTCCGTACAATAAAACTCATGTTATTTGTTTTACCTAATTCTTGTATTTAGCCTAATCTTTCCACTCGGAATTACCTAGTTGCTTATATCGTATTATCCACGATATAACAGATTGAAAGAGAAGAATTTGGTTTTATTACCCAATATATAGTTTTCTTTTACTTTGTGGTTTCTGAAGACATGTTTGCCAGAGTCCATTCTATTAGGCGTTGGTGTCTGCCATCAACATCGAAAGATGCTACAATGCCAAATTAACATTCTGAAAACTTGTGCCATGTTCTTAAGGAGCATCGACAGCTCGACACTTTCATATGACTGTCATGCATGGCGCTAAAACCGTTCAGAAGTATCTGAACTGTCAGCTGTATACAACAGCATTCTAAGATTAATAGTTAAAAAGGCTTTGAGCGTGTGAAACCTGTGGTTTTTCACAAGATCATCCTTCTTCGAACCTTCTGGACTAGCGGTAAAGAATCACAAACAAAGAACTGTAGAAAATACTAGAAACAACATCATTCAAGACTTTCGACAATAATAACAACAGAAATGGATATACACCCTTATAAAAATTAATTGTAGCAAAACGAATAATTTCGTGATTATTTCCCTTTTTTTGTATTTCTTTCAATGAAACATAATCCAGTGCTCATGCTAGTACTTCGTATGTCCATTTCACAAAGTCATTCCTTGCAGATTGACCACAGATTCTCGTTTGGATTTAAATCAGGAGAGATTCCGAGCCAGTCGATAGTACTTTCATTTGCTCACTGGTAAGACTTGCCAGTGTGTTTGTCCAGCGTTAAAATTTTCGTACGCCTCCTTGTAGTAACGTCCATCGCAGACAATAGCCGTAGGACAACTAATCGACAGTCGAGACAGTAGTGTCTGGGCATAATGTAAATCTGATGCAATCATGAACGACGCAGTATTTTTCAAGCCCAAACAAATTTCATAATACACCCCGAAAATAGATTCATATTAATGCACACCACCGCAAATGTCCTAATCTAAGGAAAACAGAGACATCAATTACACCCTGTCATTATTGATGGTGAAAAATAAGAAACTAAAGCGGTTGTTAACCATGTTCGCCATAGTCTACGAATATAGAATACAGCGTAGTACGTAATCTGTTCAATGAAACAACGTTAAAGATTAATACTCACGAGTCAGACACTCTATGAATCCGTCTATATCGCCAATACCACCAGTAGCTGCCAAAGGCTGCCAGTGAATACTCGGAAAAAAACATGACCGCCTTTATACACGTCGCATTGAATATTTTGAGCCTTCTGATTGGTTAACCCTTCTATTGGCGAACTATAAAATGAGTCAGCTCATTTTGGCTGGCTCACTAGTAACAAGGTACCCCAAAATTCTAACAGCGGTTGTTTCAATTCATTTGCACAAGTTTGAAACATGTAATTCGAAGAGGAAATAATGACATAATCAAGATGTTGACATTCCACACTACTTCAAATAAAAAGTTCGGAAATATATCCTCTTCAATACTGAAAGATCGATAATATCTATTGAATTTAAGAAATATAATTCCCTAAAAAATTGTTTTAAAAGAAAGATTTGATAAATTTCACCCGACAGTAGTGTTGGCTCTACAGTCAAGGAATGAAGAATATTTCGTCATATGGAAACAGCTAATATTAACATTACTTGCGCGAGGGGTTAGAAAGAGGCATGGGAAATATGAAGAATGAAAGACAGAAAAATTGTGCACGGAAGAAATTATTTCATCCGTAGATAGACAATAATCGTTAATGTCAAGCGATTTTAGATAATATTTAGATGCTTAAATAATTAAGGCAACAATAGCAAACACTGGAGTAAAAGAAAAAGAAAGCGATAACACCTTTTTAATTGACGGCTTAAATAAAAAAAAGAAATAAATATTTAGAATAAAGTAGAAGTGCAAACAGATAAACCCAGAAGGTAAAATCATCGATCGAGGTGTAAAACGTATCACCGGCTAATCGTAATTTAACTGAAAAAAAAAAAAAAAAAAAAAAAAAAAAACAATGAAAAAAAGTTAAATAAAATGTAAATGGGAAGAAAAAGCAGAAGATATCAGTCAGTTATGTGTCAGGCGTGATAAACGCTTAAGCGATCATGTATCCTTCAATACATGACTGACGAGGCAGAATTTTTTTTCCCGCAGTAGGGTGTCATTTCTTTCTGCGGTAGACCAGTTCTCATTCAAGGATATAGGACCCAGTTTTTCCTGCTATTTACCAACAGCTTGGGTAGAAGAATAGGATTCATACCTTTTCCAAGGGTATTAGCACGTAAGTAAATGCAATGGATTCGAATAGAATTCGAACTTCGATTCCTCAATCCCAGCCGTTATCCAATATTCCATCGTGCCTCCTTCCGTATAATAAAGTATAACAGAAATACCTATGAAAAAAAAGTAAATACACTGAAGCATGTCACGTAGGTAAGAGACGTATGTGTTTATTATTATTATTATTATTATTATTGGTTGCATGTAGTCGAGGTTCGAATTAATATAAGGATATTTTAGTTACTAGATTCAGGGCAAATAAATAACACAATACCTCTTCTTGAAATAACGCAACATAATAAACGAATGGGAACTCCACCAAACAATCAGCCTAATGAGCCACATAACAAAACTCATCATCCTTATTCTGATGAATAGAACACGCAGCAGAGAATCAGGCCAGTGATAGGACAAGAACAGAGCGGGTTCGTTAAAAACACCTGAACATAGAACGCAATATTCATGCTCAGAATGTTACCCGAAAGCAATGCAAACGAAGAAGGACGTGTGCCTGTGTTTTATAGATTACACAAAGGCGTTCGGAAGATTACTCCACAAAGATCTGTTAGAACTGCTCAGCAACCTTCAAATATTCGGGAAAGACATTAGAATAATCAAAAGCTCTAGTGCCAGCATACCATCTGCATATTGATAAAGAATGAGTTCAGCACCTATAAAAAATAGAAAAAGGTTATAAGACAAAGCTGTGGTTTCTCACCGGAATTATTCAACCTATACAGGCAATTTTTGGAGAACTAGAAATCCTACCAGGATTTATCATTGGCGGCCACAAACTTAATATAAGATATGCAAATGACACAGTGCTGATAGCAGACACAGAAATGAAACTACAAAAAAACTATTACAGAAGATAGCAAAGGAAAGCGAGAAGGGACTAAGCGTTACTACAAGAAGACAAAATGTATGGTTATTAGAAAATAGATGAGCTCCAAAGGCAAACTACAGGTCAGGGTTAATAGAATCAAGTAGGTACAGAAATTTAAATATCTCGGATGTGTTCTATGCAAAGACGTATTGGGATGGACAAAGGAGATTTCCAAAAGCTAAGAAGAGTATTAAGAGACAGGAAAATTTCGTTAGAAACAAAGAAAAGAATAGTGAACTGTATCGTGACATCTGTCCTCATGTATGACAGAGAATGCTGGAAAATCTCCTCAAAGATGAAGAAGAGATCCGAGGCGACAAAAATGCGGTTATACAGACGGATACTGAGGATAACATGGACCGAACATGTGAGAAACGACGAAGTTTTGGAGAGAATGAAAACGGAGAAGAAACTTATACTTAACATCAGGAAGAAGCAGCTGAAATTTCTGGTACATGTAATGAGGAAGGTGGGCTTGGAAAATCTGATACTCACAGAACCGATGGGGAGAAAAGGTATAGATGAAAGCAACGAGTGGCATACTTAAGGGTTTGAGCAAATGGAAGGAAAAACCGAGTCTAGGAGTAATAACAAAAAGATAAAAAATACTAAGAGCTACAAGAGACAGAAGGATGTGGAGGGCCATGCTCGACTACGTCCTTAAGGCACATGGCACATAAAAGAAGAATCTTTTTTGTACCTATTTTACCAAACACTATTTGGCTCTGTACCACACAGAATTAAGCTAAGTTAAATACCAAGATTTTTAGTTGATGCATTATATTTTCAGAATACGAGGAAACAGAAAATAAAGCATTGAATAAAGGAAAGACAGACAAAACGGAGAAATTGAAGGAAGAAAAAGAAAAGCATAAAATGAAAGAAGGAAAAAGAGAAAAAATAAACGAAAGGGAGGAAAAGAAAAAAAAATTATGAAAGGAAGGAAAAGAAAAAAATCAACGAAAGGCAGGAAAAGAAAAAAATCAACGAAAGTGAAGAAAATGAAAAAAAAATCGACGAAAGAGAAGAAAAGAAAAAATCGACAAAAATGAGGAAAAGAAAAAATCGACAAAAAAGAGGAAAATAAAAAGAATCGACAAAAGGGAAGAAAAGAAAAAAAAAACGACGAAAGAGAAGAAAAGAAAAAATCGACAAAAAAGAGGAAAAGAAAAAATCGACAAAAAGGGGGAAAAGAAAAAATCAACGAAAGTGAAGAAAATGAAAAAAAAAAGACGAAAGGGAAGAAAAGAAAAAATCGACAAAAAAGAGGAAAAGAAAAAAAAATCGACGAAAGGGCAGAAAAGAAAAAAATCGACAAAAGGGAAGAAAAGAAAAAAAAAATCGACGAAAGGGAGGAAAAGAAAAAAATCGACGAAAGGGAGGAAAAGAAAAAATCGACGAAATGGGGAAAAAGAAAAAATCAATGAAAGAAAAGAAAGGAATAAATGTACAGCAGAAAACTGGCTTAAAAATGAAAATGAAAATAAAGAAACGTGTTGATGACAAAAGAAAGCAAAAGAACGAAAGGAAGGAAAGAAAAACGTAGTCAGAGCAGTTAAAGAAGAAAAAGACGCTAAAAGTGTAAAGATGTTGCAGAGTCTCTATGAGCAGAAAGAGGTTGATGCAGTGGCAGGATGTCAGTTTATAGGGTCGAGAAAATGTGCGCAGGAGAATGGTGGAGGTGATGTATGGCTCTGGGAAGATGGTATCTCTGGTACGGTGCCATTGATAACGGGGAGCCAGGGCGATGTTATCGGTACGGCTATCACAATTTCTGTCAATGGCATACAAGTCCGGGTCAGAGTTGGCGTCGGATGCGATTGTTGCTATGGACACCAGACATAATAGGGTGAAATACTGAAAAGAAAAAGGGACACGCTGATGCAGGTATATGGTAAATGTAGGAATGGTTGTTGGGTGCCGTTTTCTTGGTTGCAAATATATCTATAGCCCTCCTGACTAACCAGCTTTGCCATGGGCGTAAGGGAAAAGGAAGGAGAGGCGAACACAACTTCCCTTGCCGGATATCGTTGAAGGAGACGAGACAGAGTTGTAAGGCTATAAGAGAAGATTAAGTAAACGGTGACTGGGGAAAAGTCCGGGATTCTTAGGAATGAAACGGGGAAATATAACAAGAGAGAAAAGCAGGAGAAAATGGAAGGGTAGTGCGTCGATATGACGATGCAGATGGCGACAAATGCTATAGTAGCCATGATAATGAATTGCGGATATCATATTAGATTTTCATATGTCACGCACATCAGTGATTTTACAAGTACATGAAACAATAATTGCACTAGGATTCGTTCGCTTAAGCTTTGATGGAAGCATTAAAAATCACAGAACGAAATGTCAAATCCAACTCCTTTGAATCCGTTCAACAGCAGCAACAGCCACAAGAAAATAATGCATCCTCAAGCTGATAGCATTTGTCACCAACAGAAAGAATAGAAGGAAGATCTCATCGGTGCTGGAAACTATTACAGATAGTTGAACTGAGGACTTTAATTATCTGAAAATTGTTTGAATAAAAAGATATTAATTCTTTTAAATTGAAAGACTTTAAAATGAGAGTAACACCAATAGTTCGGTCAATAAATTCCGAATGTTTCCCATATAGAAAAGGCTAAATTCACCATTGGTTATTTAAGAAGTTCGAATGAATATTGATGAGGATAATTGTACAGATAAAGAATATTTTAATTTTGATATTAATAATAATTATAAATATATTTATATTGAGAAACTGTCATGATGGGATTCATAATAATAATAATAATAATAATAATAATAATAATAATAATAACAATAATAATAATAATAACTGTTATTTTTATTGTTAGCAGTCAAAAAATATTCAGCTAAAAGTTATAGTTAAAATTATAAAGAATGATACATACAAATGCTACAAAGGTTTAAAAATAAAAAAAAATAAAATGTTAAGGTTTTTATTTAGAAATTCAAGTTTTCCCCAAACATTTTACCATTTGTTCCTAAGTACTATATGCCACCTAATGCAAGGTTCAAAAACCACTAATTTTAGAGAGTTACTGAATGAGGTGATTGTAGCGGACGCAGAAGGAAGCGAAAATTATGAAGCATATAGAGGATACGTAAACGATTGACCGAGATGAATATTGTAGTTATCAGGGAAGCATCAAAATGGGAGTTTGTTTCACAGATAGAAATATTCAAGAAAAAAAAGAACTGAGTGGGATAAGTTTGGAATACGGAGGAAATGTGGATGATTTGACTCCGTAGAAGTAACATGCTGAGTCGTAAATATAAAGACTTATAGATGAAACTTCAGGGTCGAGATTTGCCATGGAGGTAACGATAAGATGCAATGTCACTTCTCTGTAAAAGACGTAATTGAGTGGAAAATGTCAAACTCGACAAGACAGCGTTAAACGGCTTTGAACTCTGTCAATATTAAAAAGTGTGGATTCAGCAGCAGCACTCAATACATGGCAGAAATTCTCCATATCTAGCCTAATCTGACTCTAGTCAAAATAATGCACAGAAGAAGCAGTGACTTACTTCTTGAACCGATCATTTCTCCGGCACATTTAACAATATGTCTCGAGGTCTGGTACAAGCTTGAGTTCCAATAGACATTCATATCATGAATGCACATTGAGAGTGCAATCATTTTCTGTGATGGGAGTTCAATCGATGACGCTGAAATGAACAAAAAAACAAAAAAATATACCATAAAATGTACAAGAAAGCCATGTAGTTACTATTCTTTGGAACTTTACCATTTATGTTTACAGACATAAAAGTTAATAGACGAGACGAAATGATTAGCAAAAACAAGTACCGCATCTCTTTTTCACAGACGTGGCAGATAAATATCAGGTCAGTCCATAAGTTCTGTCCGAAATATTATATATGTAATTTAAATCAAATTTTACGGTATTCTAGAATATCTAATGATACTAATTTATAATCATATGAATTTAGAATCCTTTAACTTAATATTTCTTTTTATATAATTATTTAACTGAACTAATTACTCAAATTAGCCCCTCACAGATGGAAGTGTCGAAAAAGCATTTCAGGTACATACAGCTTTATGAATTTAAAAAGGAACTTTGCAGCCGAAGCGACTCGTAATATTCACTCAGCTTATGAAGAAGAACATGAAAGAACTTGCAGAAGATTGCCAAATTCTTAAGTGGAAATTTCAGCCTTGAAGATTAAAACCGAAAAGGACATCCAGTTGAGTTTGATGATGAGCTCCATGTAGCATCACTTGAAGAAAATCATGCAGTTGAAGAATTGGCAATGAAGCTTTGTTCAAATCATCCAACTGTTCATCGTCCTCTTCAAAAACTTGGAATGTTTCCTAAACTTAAAAAATGGGTACCTCGTAAATTGTCTGAAATCAACCACAAATTCCGAGTTGACATTACTTCTCTTCATTCTCGTGAAATCATCTCGCTTTTTTTTTTTTTTTTTAGAATTGTGACTGCTGATGAAAAATCGATTTTATATCAAAACCGAAAAAGAAGCTTCTTTCAATTTGGTGGGATTGCAGAAGAAGTCACTGAGTTGCTACCAACTAATGCAACAGTCAATGCGATTTACATAATCTAAGTCTAAGACTTTTCTTTTAAAAGCCTTTGATAAAATACATTGTGATGTAATTTACCAAACACATTTGAACTGCAGTAATGGCTAGGTAAGCTTGGCATATTTGCTGACGATATCAAAATAATCAAGAAGCTATACTGGGAGTAAACCACCTGTATGTGGACAAAAATGAATTCAGTAAATATAGGAAAATACAAATGGGTGTAACACAATAATGTTTCGTTTTACCGGAGAGATAGAAATCATTTACTAGGAGCCAAAAGGACAGGAAGTTATAGAGAGCCATGATCGCCAACGTCATGTTTAATCCGGTTTGAAGGAAAATATACTTAAACACCTCCAAATTTTCTTTGCACTTTTAGTAGAAGAGAAAGTCGAAAAGGCGTAAAAGAGTGATGGAAGTATTTGCTTGGCGATTCGATTGCTAAACGAAATCAAAACAACAAAAAAAAGGGAAACAGATTTAAAATATATCTTAAAATATTGAAGTAAAAATTTGAAGATTTTGGAAGATAGGAATTTGCGTAAGCAGCGACTCATAAATATGAGTAATAAATTCCGGAAATCCACAGATTTTCATTGAAAAAATAATCATTGATGCGTGCGTAACAAATGTAATCTTCGTAAACCATTTATTTGCAATATATCATTGGTGTAAACGCACACAAAAGACAAACAGACGCATATGAATCTCATGTATATATATATATATATATATATATATATATATATATATATATATGTGTGTGTGTGTGTGTGTGTGTGTGTGTGTATATATATATATATGTGTGTGATTATATGTATATATACATATGTGTGTATATATATGTATCTATATAAATGTGTATATATACTTGTGTATATGTACATATATATGAATAGATGCAGGTGTATATATAAATATGTATATATGTGAGTGTGAGTGTTTATATATTTAGATATGTGTATATGTGTGTATATATATATATATATGTATATGTATATATACGTATGTGTATATATAACTATATAAACATGCGTGTGCATATATCTATATAAACATGTGTATATATATACTTGTATGTGCATGTATATATATATATATATGTATAGATGCATGTGTGCATATATGTACATATACATGTGTGTATATATATGTGTGTGAGTATATGTGTGTGAGTATATGTGTGTACATCTAACTACATATATATATATATATATATATATATATATATATATATATATATATATATATATATATATATATATTTGTGTGTGTGTGTACACAAATGTGTGAATATATACATTTGTATATATGTGTTGTTGATTCCGGGTTGGAATCCGGTACCAATAAATAACAAACGCCAGGAATGAATATATGAAAATAATGTATTAACGTAATAATACAAACTAGTAAAGCAGGTTAGTAGTTCCAGGAATACGGGTTAGTAGCGAAATATATATACAGTCTTTGGAATTGAAGTATAGCTGTATGACTTCTTACTGAGTCTACGTGCTCGCTCACTGGGACTCCTACAACGCTGTTACCTCACCCTCACTCTTCCGGTTACCTACAACCTTTTACTCTGTCACTCTGGACTCGACTCGACTCTGTTGTTCGGGTATTCACTGGCAGTAGTATAAGTATACACTGGGTAAGTCCATTTGTATAAAAACGGGGTGGACCCCTCAACAATATGTATGCATATACATGTGTATGTTTATATATATATATATATACATATATATATATATATTTATATAGACACACACACACACACAGATATATATATATATATATATACATATATATATGTGCGTGTATATATGTTTGTATATGGATACATGAATGTATATGTGTATATAAATGTCTATATATATGTGCATTTATATATATATACTCATCCATATATCTATGTATATGTGTGTGTATGTATATATATGTGTGTGTGTGTGTTTCTATATATAGACATATATGTGTGTGTGTGTGGATCAGAGATCCTGATGGCAGACGTCCGATATCAGTCAGATATCTTACCACTAGGCCATCGTCGCACAGCAGAAAGGAAGGGAATTTTAAATTTTTTTTTGTTTTTTTTTTTTTTTGCTTTTATGCATTACTCTTCAAGTATGAATTTAGTTCTCCGATCCGCTGACGTATTTCGTATAGAAAAAAAAAAAAAAAAAAAAACTTTAAAATTCGCTTCGTTTCAGCGGCTCGGGGAACTCAATTCATACTTGAATAGTAATGCTCAATAGCAATAGGAGCTGCTTCTTTTTTTTCTTTTTTTTTAAACCTTCTCTCGAGAGCATTTATTGCCATCCACACACATAATGTTTGCTGTATCACAGATCCTCAATGGGCTAGACGTCCGATTGCCTCAAGCCGGGATCGAAACCTGACATCAGTCAGATATCTTACCGGTAGGCCATTGTCGCACGACAGGAATTTTTGACGTTTTTTTTTCTTTATATATATACAAAAATACAATAGATTAAAATGAAAATCCTTATATGTGCTTTTATAAATTCCACCAGAGGATGTACCACGTTGGTAAAGTCTAGTTTTTCTTTGGTCTCTCTCTCTCTCTCTCTCTCTCTCTCTCTCTCTCTCTCTCTCTCTCTCTTCACACAC